TTCTGCTCTCTTTCTTTTTTCTCGAAATAAGTTTCTCTACTGTAGACTTCTTTCCTAGAAGAGTTGATCTTGCATACTTAATTATGCTTATTGCGATTATATTCTACAAATTATCTTTGTTTAATATCTCTAGATGAGCTATATTATACTCATCTTTCATAATATTCAGTTTCTTCTTGAGTAAACCATCTAGTTTTGTTTTATAATCCTCCTAGTTTTCTTCTGTTGCTTTGTTAAGAAGGAAAGACTATTTTTTAATTTATTTTAAGATATGTTCTTTGTTATTTCTTGTGACTCTTTCATAATTATTTCTACTTCTTTTAACTCTATACTTGATACTTCTAAAGAGATTGAAGTTTCTAGATTTATCTTTCTTACATCTGTTTTATTTTACTATTCTTGCATATTGGGTCTAAATTTTTGTATTCGAGAACCTTCTCTACTTTTTCTATATCTTCATGTATTGCTACTCTTCTAATTACTTTTCTTTATTCTCTTGTCACTATTACAATATCACTCTCTACACCTATTATTCTTGCTACTAACTTATTTACATAATCTTTAAAGCCTATTTTTAATTTGCTACTCTTAGCTAAGATTTCCTTGCTATATTCTTTAGATATTTTTTTGATTAATCTTAGTGTATTTTGTTTGTTCTACATTTTGTACTTAAATTAAACTACTCTATAATTAATTTGTTATTATAGAGTTATTATAGTAATAATCTTCTAAGATTTTATAATTATATAATGAGTATACAACAAGCTACATATATAACTTTAGTCATTATCTAATTTAAATAGTTTGCTATACAGATAATTAACTATCTGTTAGTTTTATACTATACTACTATACTTACAACTTGCTTATAAGTTATCTATTTAAATACTTTGATCATTAACTCTTCTTTCTATTCTAAACTAATATTACTACTATATTTGATTACTTAAACTAGCTAACTTGCTTATAAATCTATTTACTATATAACTTAGATCTTTTTAAAATATATATTATCTAATATATAAGTACACAAAGTTCTAGTTTACCTCAAAAGTATACCTACTAAAGTAGTTTATATCTATTTCACAGATTTATCTAGCTTAGATTTTGGTAATAGTTATATTATTCTAGTTTTTACTATAGCTTTTCACTAGTATTTATATTTTCTCTTTATATATTTTACAAAACAGATCTTCTAAATTCAGTTAGCTACTAAGTCAGATTAGTATTGCTAATTCTTCCTGTAGAATAGACTTTTTCATATCTATCTTAATTTACACCTTTCTCAGTAGTATTTCTTTTTAAATTAAGTATTAACTAATATAACTATTAAAAGCTATACTATTTTATTAACTCTGAGTTTTTACTATACAAATCTCCTGTTCATAGATTCTATTAAGATTTATTCATATAATATTATATCATATTTTTAATATTTAATTAACTTAGTACAAATCAATTTACAAGATTATAACTCTATAAATAAACAGAATTTACTATAAGTTAGATACAAAGATCTAAATAATTATTCAAATTTGTTAATAGTAGGATTTGAATTCCAAACTTCTTGTATAGCAGTTTAGCAATTTAACTACTATATTAAGATTATTAGATCTAATAAATAACTTATTCTATATATAAAATATATAATAAATATTTAGATAAATACTAAAATATAGAATATTACTATTGAAAAAAAAACTAAAAAAATAATACAAAATAGATTTGAAATAAAAAACTTTTAGTAATTTATATAAAATATAAATATATATATTAAGAATATATAATTTTTTTTTTTTTTTTAAATAATTAAGAAAATATGCTAAAGTTTAATTATACTCTTTCTGATAATTACTCAAACCACATGCAAAACAAACTTTTTATTTTAAAAATAGTAATAAAGCTAATATTTTGACAAATACATAGTAATATCAATAGGAAAAACATTGTGAGATAAGTCTCAAAAACCTGGTAGTATTTATTAACTAAAGACTATAAGCAATATAACTTGGTTCTAATAAGGAGTAACCAGAAAATGTTTTCAAAAAAATATATTACTAGATTTATTTTTTAAAAGTTAGAAGATACTTAGTAGATTCTTTACAATATTTGAGCTAGATCAAGTATTAATATACATTCTATTATAAGGTGGTTCAAAAACTATATACTCTACTCCTCTTCAGTTATTCTTTTTTTTGAAAAGTAGAGAAATTAGTTTCTTCTTTTCAAATAATTAACAATATTTACTACTATTTTTAGAAAACTCCAATAATAACAACCATGTAACAAACAAACACATAGCTATATTTTGTTTTGTTATATATATTGGATTCTAGAAAGTTCTGATAAAATAGCACAAGTACAAGAATAGAGAATACTAGGAATAAATATTGAACAGAGAACTCAAGAGATATGTTCATATTAATATTTTTATATCTGGTCCAAGTCAGAGAACAATATTTCTTTTTGTTTTGTTTTTGTTTTTTTCTTTATTTGTTTTTGTTTTATATTAGTTTTCTTTATCTGTAGCAGATTTTTTCTAGTATAGATTTAGTTATAGACTGTGACTACTTAGGTCTATACAATTTTTATCATTTTTATATCTTGAGACTAGATACTAACTTCTTTTTACTTAGTTTTAACTAGATAAAAAAAGATCTAAGATCTTGATATATAGCTAGAAATCACCTTCATTAACCAAATTTTAAGAATCTGTTCAGACAGATTAAAGTTTTTGCTAGAAAATAATTTCTGTAGCAGATCGAACTTGGTACCTTAAAGATAGCTAAGTTAGTTTGAAATAGTATAGAAAGAACAAATTAGTATACTTGTATATTAAATTGTTTTTAGCTTTTTTCTTAGCTTTCTCTTAATAAAATAATAGACAAGATTGCTCAAGATATAAAAAAAATATATATATATAAATTTTTTTTTATAAAAGATATTTTTTTAAACTAAAACAGAAAAATATATTTGCTAGTAATTTTAAGTTTAATAAAAAAATTTTAAACTACTTATTCTAGTTGTCTTAAATATTTTAATAAAATCTCTAAGTTCTTATATTTTTTTCTTTTTTTTATTATAAGTATACATAGTATATAATATATAGCAATATTTTTTTTTTCTTTTGACAGTCATGTCATAAACTTTATTAAGTTATTAACTATAGCTTTAGCCAAGTTACATAATTATTTAATTTACTTAATTTACTAAGCTTTATATTATTTAGCTACTACTAGAGTACTTAGATATGATCTATTACGCTAACCAAAAGGCTAAAACAATTTGTCTAATTGTATTAAAGAAAACTCTACCAACTTATTTCTTCCTTTTTAATTTCCTTTCTAACTACTCCTTCTACTAAAGCTATTACTTATCCTTTTTTCTTTTTTCTTTTCTACAACTAATGCTTTTCTTTTTTCATTCACCTGAGTTCTTATTTTTGATCTTTTTTCTTCTACTTTGTTTCTTTTAAGCTTTGTTGTAATTCCTTCACTTTTTTCTCAAAAGATTACTTTTTTGCATCACTAGTTCTATATAACCTCTGCAAAGCTTCTTTGAGCAATAAAAAAGATATTATCCATTCAAGATCTCATAACCTCTTTCTTCTGAGCTAATAACCAAATATCTTTAGCTATTTTCTTTTCTTTGGGTTTGATTATTAGCTCCTTTTTTCTTTGAAATCAGCTTTCTTTTTCTTTTGAGAAAATAATCCTTCTAATTTTTGATATCAAGTCTGAGTTATTGTCTTTTTTGTATTGAATCTTATTGATACTGTCTATTATTACTTTTTTAATTTTCTTTTAAGAATCTTGTAGTACTGAGTAGCTTATCAGATAATCAAGATCTTTTAGAATTTCTTCTTTGCATAGGATGCAGTGATTACTTTTATATAGAAATAGTTTTCTTTTCTTAAGCTTGCTAAGTATTGGAAGACAATTTTGCAAGTACTTGATTTGTATGATAAGTTTTTTGCTATCTTTTATCAACAGACAATTTATTTTCCTCTGTTTTTTGATTCTCTGCTATAGCCTTTTCTAGTTATACTTTGAGTTTTCGGCTATGCTATCCTTTTTTTGAAATACCTACTTTGCATTATTATATCTTTTTGTTAGCTTAGTTATAAATTGCTTAACTGAGTTCTTAATTCTGTTTGATTTCTATACTATATCATAGCTAAAGTTTTCACTTTGGATCAGATCTAGATTTAGCAAAAAGTTTGACTTTCTATTCTCTTTTGCTAGTTGATCTGCTTCATTATTCTAATTGTTATCAGTATGGCTTTGAACTTTTTTGAGCTCTAGTTTAATACCTTTCTGCTTAACAAGTAATACAATCTTTTCTAGAATAATTTTGTTATCTGCTCTAATCTATTTGCTATATTGTTCAATCTTGCAAGCTTTAGTTATACTCTCTATCATTTGTTCACTATCTGTAAGAACCCTAACTATTGTATTGCATTGCACTATTAATAAAACTACTTATACTCCTAGTAGCTCTGCTTTAGTTAATATCAGCTAGTTGACTACTCTCAAATTCCCTAAGCTAACTACACTATTCTTTACCTGATCTACTACTACCTATCCTACTCCTATATTTCTCTTATACAGCAATATTATATATGTATATATTACATATTATATATATATAATATATATATGTATATATTACATATTATATATATATAATATATATATGTATATATTACATATTATATATATATAATATATATAAGTTCTTTGCTAGAAAAATTATTCTTCAGAATTTTCTGAACAAGCTAATTCAAAAAGACTTAGACCAGAATACAATTCTTTATTTATATATAAGCTATCTTTTACTTTTATCAATACAATAGTTTATTTAATAAACTATTATATTAACAAGATAAAAGAAGATTTATATATAAATAAAAACTGGTGTTCTAGTCTAAGACTTTCTGAATTGGCCTGTTTAGAAAATCCTAAAGGGTGTTTTTCCTAGCAAAGATCCCAGATTGATATATGAGGTTTTTGCTATTAAAATAACCCTCTGAGCCATTATTACACAGGAATTTTGTTAAAAAAATCATAATAAATCTATTTTTAGCACAAAAAAATCATAGCAAAGACCCCATATTATATGTATAGTATAACTTTATGAAATTGCTACGTATGCATATACTTTATAGCATACTAATATCATTATTGAATTTGACTAAAAAAATTAGAAGAGATGCAAATTGTGTAGCATATCCTAAATCAGAGGTCATCTAAAGCGGAGTAGAATCACGTGAATTAACCAATTAAATCACGAATTTTTTGTTGACTCAGATCAGCTCGGCGAAGCAAAAAAAATGAAAAATGCAAAAATACAAAAAACAGCTATCTAAACCTGTCTCGATGCACCAATAAAAAATGTCTTGAAGGTAATTTTACCCAGTGTTGGCAATTTGACAAGATTACAGAATTAGATGTTATAAAAATATGTCATTTTTGTCATAAAAAATATTATTTTGCTATTGTTTTATAATATTTTATAAAATTTTGCAATCATTTATTTGTCATAAAAAAGTCATATTTGTCATATTGCCAACACTGATTTTACCTATATGCCTGCTAATCCTAACCCTAACCCAGGTCTAACCCTAAAGTTAATAATAATTTTATCGATTTTGTGTAACCTACTCCGCTTTAGACGTCCCCCTGAATAGCGCAACGTACAGTTTAAAATTGAATTTTAAATTTGTATGCGGATTACATATTTCATTTTAATAAAAGTTGCGGAATTTATGTGAAAAGTTGCAGGTTCAATTTTTTTTCTTCTTAATAAATTATTTTTATTGAGTAAAAAATTTTTCATATGCGGAATCCGCATATGCTTGAAATAATATTTTTGCGGAACCAATTTTTAGTCTGCGCTCCGCAGATTCCGCACATAGATTTTAAACACTGGCTACGTGTAATGTTCATAGCATTTAACATAAAGGTTCAAAATACTACGTAGTATCATACAAACTGATCTATCTTCAAAGTATAGTTATTACAGGACCCAGTGTGTCATTTAAAAGAACTTTGTGTTAGGTCTCGTACTTGCGTAGAAATGTGTGCAACAAACAAAGTTTTTTTTTTTCATGACGAAAAGTTCTTGAGACCAAATTTTATTAACTCGATTACGTTATTAACGTGACACTTGACATGTTCACTAATATATTTCATTTTTTCAAATACTGAACTACTGAGTACCACCAAAAGAAAACCAAACATCCGAGTTCGAATTTATCATTTACCAGTAATCAGCAATATATGAAAAGTGATGAATTCAAAGTCAGGAGTTTAGTATCTTCTGGCGGCACTCAAATAAGAGTGAAAGGGGAAATAGAACTTTAACATGATATAACAATACAAAAATAAAAAACAAAATAATCGAAATAAAATAACACCAAGAAAATAAGTTTCAGTTTTTATATATCATAAAAGACAATTCGAATTAAGTTTAAGGTCACTTCGAGACGATATCCATTCTTTATAATTTAATACTTTTTTTTTTTTTTTTAAACTAATTTCTAATGTCTAATTTATTAGCACGAAACGTATTGTTGAAATGATATTTGATATTGCGCAATCTATAAATTATACCATAAATGAGGAAAAATATGTACCACTCAGCACTGTGGACAGTAAACGAAGTGTGAGATAATTGAAGCGATTGAATCTTAATTTGATACGGGTTGTCACTCATATGCGGTTAAAAGAAAATTAGGGACTTTTCCCCTCCAGATCCCACTATCAAGAATCTACTGAGGCGAATCATAACAATCTTACTATAAGAACGGAACTGTTGATAAAGAAGATAAACTCAAGATATCCATTTATTGTCAGAAGGCTTCTGAAATGGGTATACCGATGGAACATTTAATATTGATGATTGCTATGATATTTGGGGTTGATTAGCATGTACTCGAAGGTTCTCGAACATCAGATGAAACAAAAAAATCTTACACCATTATAGAAATAGAATTGGCGATGAAGGAACTTGATGGTGGAACGATAGGGATCTGGATTAGGTAAGATACTGGAACTAGAACAAACGATAGGTACCAGGTTTTCATTTTTTATTCTTCAATTTTTTGTTATCTTATTGAATAGGGTTACTTTCTTTTTTGTAGGATTAGAACTTGACGATGAAGATCTGGATCGGGTAAGAAACTGGGACAAACGATAAGTACTGGTTTTTCATTGCTTCGATTTTTATTTCTCTTCTTGAATAAGGTTAATATTTAATATTTAATAATAATAATAATAATATTTTTTGTAGGGCCTTTCTGTATTAAAGCACGAATTGGAGCTTGACAATGGAGATTTAGTTCGGGTGAAAAACTAGACGTACCAGTTTATTTCTTTGATTTTTTTTTTTTTTTTTTTTTTTTTTTGTAGGGCCTTTTTGCATAGGAACACAAATTGGAACTTGATGAACTCGATGAAGATGATCTGAATCGGGTAAAAAACTGGAAACTGGGATCGATAAGTAATTTTTTTTTTCGCATAGATATTAAGATTGTTTTTGATAAGAACTACCTTTTTTTTTTTGTAGATTTTTTTTTTTTTGTAAGAACGTGAACTAGGAACGTGAGAGTGAATTCAAACTTGATGAACTTTATCGACATGTAATCATATGATTTTATGATACGTAATTGATAGTTGGGATTAGTATAAATAACGATATGGTTATTAATCGTGGTGGGTTGGGTAAATTTTAATTAATGAGTAATTTTTTAATTTTTAAAATTCTTTATAATATATATTATCATATTAGATATAAATAAATTTTTTTTATTTTTAATAAAAAATTAAAAACAAGATTACATCAAAATTACATCGCTTATACATGTGTCTTTCTAATAACCCAAACATCGAACAAAATATAATTACTTTAATAGTTATAAGCCCAACACCTTTAGTCCCTACGCGTGTTTACGCCTACGAAGTTTATAACTCATCAATAAAATCGACAAAAGAAAAAAAAACCTGCAAACAAAAAAAAAAAGTGTTAGCTTCTATCAAAAAAAAAAAAAAAAGATTAAACGCTGAATAAAAAATAATAAACCATGTTCCGCGAAGAAAAGACCTATAGCGAGAAGAGTATATTAGCTTCTATTCGAAAAAAAAACAAAAAACAAATAGTACTAATTCACCTGCTTATTAAATTTATTAAGTTTATGGATACTTGGCTTCAACAAACATGCAGTTTGTCTACTAGTCCTGACCGCCACGTAGAGGCGTATCCATATAGTCAGGTTACTTTTTTTGGGAAGAAATTTAGAAAGAAACCCTTTACTAAGCTACAGTATAAAATATCGTGACTCCTATCGTTTCAAAGAGTCGTGCAGAGGTGCTGAGCGCACAATTATACTGATGCCGAAAAGCTCAATTTCTTCGGTTACTCTTAGAGCTAGATTCACCGCAAAGCCCAAGAATAGGCTAAGATTAACTCGGGTTATTTTGAATATGGTGTATCCTGAGTTGTCGCCACCTTCAAGGAATTCCTGCTAAAGGATAGTTCACTTTAAAACAGGCCTTAACACTATGAGCGAACCCATAGATAATCCAGGAAAAGCTCATTTAAGGTCCTGAGCTTGACCAGAAAAAATAGTAAAAACGACTACGTAGTTTTAAGGTGTATTAAAAGATAGTTTCTTCGTAATAACGGTAATAACGATAATAAGTTTTCAAAACAAATAAATATACACGTGATGATCTATTTATATCTGTTAAGATCCAACCAACCATATGCTTAACGTATAATCATGTGACTGTTTTTTACAAACAATTTCGATATTTCAAAATAACTAGCATTAGGTTTGAAATTAAACAAAAACACTAAATTAATACGTATTGATATACTACGACATGTATATGAAATATAATTATATATTTCTACTGAATGAACTTTTTATTTTAAATAGAAAACACATAAAATCTATTAAGTAAAGACGTTTATTTGGTTCTTGACTATGTAATATATAAAATTCTGGAGTACGTAGTGGCAAAATTTTTTATAGGTTTTAGCATATTTTATGATTACTAGTGTCACGGTGTAAAAGTGAATTCGCCTACGTGTAACCCCGATTTGTATACAAGTTATTTGGACCAAGCCCCAAGAAATGACAAGACAATAATCGTATGATAAATCATACGATAGCAGCATTCAAGCCCCCCCCCCCCCCCCCGCCCCCCCCCCCCCCCCCCCCCCCCCCCCCCCCCACCCGCCCACCCACAGACCACCCCACCCGGGC